TTAGTCTTCGACTCTTTCACATCTTTCTTTCTTCTTTTGGTTCATCTTTTGACTATATTCAGTTCGGCCCCTAAACTTTGATTGTTTTTCAAAGATGATCGGAGAATACAAACGAAATGGACTGAACACAAAGATGATTCCAAAAGACACCAAAGAAATCAGACGATAAAATCTAGTAGGATAACATTGTAAGGCCATATTTATACTCTGCACCATCACTGTTAATCTTAGAAGTTGAAGATTATCAGAGAAGATGAACGAAATGTACAAAACATATAGAGAATTGCAAAAGATAACAAAGAAATTTGGTGACAAAAGTTTATTAGGAAACACTGTATGGCCCTATTTAGGAGTGAATTACCGAAATGGTTATTGAACTTTGCAAAAAGTTTCCACGGGTCACTGAACATGAAAAATCATCCAATTCATCATTGAACTTTGCAAAAGGTTTCCACGGGATCATTAAACTTTAAAAATCACCTCATTCATCACCGAACTTTACAAAATATTTCCACAGAATCACTGAACTTTGCAAAAGGCTTCCCAAGGGTCACTAAATTTAGTGACCCCTAGGAAACCTTTTACAAAGTTCAGTGATAAATAGGTGATTTTTAAAGTTTAGTGAACTCGTGAAAACCTTGCAAAGTTTAGTAATGAATTGGATGATATTTAATGTTCAGTGACCTCGTGAAAATCTTTTACAAAGTTCAGTGATCATTTAGGTAATTCACTCCCCTATTTAGACTCTACACTAGCACTGTTGATCTTAGAGGATGATCATTAGTCTAGAGCAATTGGCAAATTCAACATTAAGTGGAAACTAAAGTTGCTCTTCTATAATGTGACTTCCATCTATTGGGTCCGAGTTTTGGGCCTCTATGTTTGAGTTATCAAGCAATGTATCTAATACAAAGGATGGGTTCAATTAGTCTACACGTACAGGGCAATTTCACAAGTGAATCACAGGATTTTAAAATAGGTTGACGTGGCAATTTTGAAAGAAGAAAAATAGAGCAAAAAAAAAAGGCCTCAAAATCATACTCTTTCCTTCAAACCTAAATCCTTTCTTGCCTCCACTCTCTAAATTGGAAACTTCTCAAACCATTAAAACTAGCCTTCTTCTTTCAGGTAAGAGACAGTGCACTCATCCCCAGATCCGATGGCGACAAAGTTCTTGATTGTATATTGAATCCTGCATTACCCAAACATTTTCATCTGAATCAAAAAGGAGTTTTCTTCTGGTGGTAATGGGGTGGATGAGGCGACTAAGATATGCTAATGTTGGATCAATAGGCTTAAACGTTGTTCTTTTTTTTCTTTTTTTCTTTTTTTATGGGGCTTGGGGTAGTGGGATAGCATGGTACTGCAGGTTGAACCCCGTTGAAATCCAAGTAGCAAAACTTTATATCTTGATAATAATCCAGGATGGAATCCAACTAGTACATGTGTTTAAATTACACCATTGGACTAAGCTATTTCTTGATTCCCATTTGAAGACAGGACAATGTTCCTAAAAAGCCCATGCAAGAGTAGGTTCAACTTAACCATTCCAGTGCTAAACCTGGAAATTTTCTTTAGAGTAATGCTGGATTTTTCATGTTCATTTGTTTATATGTAACGTAGAAAAATGTTGAAACATTATTTTTCTTGAAAGTTAGTTTTTTGGTACTCATCAATTACTGGAAATGGTCTCTGTGACTTCAAGGATAGTTGGATACGACGCTTGAGATTTTTGAAACAATCTATTATTGAAATGCAAGGTACAAACTCAAACAATACGTCTCTTGTTGTCTTGACCACATGGAATTCAACCAATGGTCTCATATAGAACTTGTTGCTTACTTTGTTTTGGTTCAATATGTTATTAACTAATTGATTACAAGGCTTTTGTTCATTCACTGAAGTTTGCCAAAAACAAATGAAAGCAAGTATATATTACAAATTGATTGACTGAAGGCTGTCTACAAAAGAGAGACCGAAATGGCTATTATAAGTTTGCAACATAGATTTCAAAGAAGAAAGCAGGGCATTCTAGTTTGGCAAATAAGAATATAAAAACATTCGTTCATCCAACAAAAATATTTGATACGTAGATTCTCGGAAGTGCTTATATTGATTGGCACCAAATGTCATGCACAATCATCACTTGCAAGAGTTCAACTGGTCCAAACTTCTGGAGATACGTACTTGCCTTCAACTTGCAAAACTAGGCACATTACATGTCAACTTTAAGTATGACTTCCAGGGAAAAAATGGAACCCGAACTGAAATGCTCAATAGCAAAGCCAAAAAACTGAACTTCACAGCTCATATGATATGAGAGCCCTAAAAACCAAAGTTAACTGTTAAAATATGACAAGAAGAAAGCAGGAAGGAAGCTTGTTGCCAGTAGAGATTCCAGCAAAGTCCAAGAACTACCAGCTACACATTGAATTCTAGAAGAATCAGCTAAAGGAATTTGTGTGTTATTAGGCTTCAAATCAGTTATGAGTGGAAGAATTAATTTTTGGTTGGAACTGTTTTGTACAGCTAGTGTAGAGTTTGTTAGGAATATTCCTTTTATTCAATTATATAAGGGTACTACCAGTTTGTATTTTGATATGAAAAAGAATACACAGTAAAACATTCTCCCCCTTGTGTAATTCGTTCCCTTTTGTTGGCTTTTCTTTTGTGGTATCAGAGCCAATATGGCTCAAGAGGATTTCAACTCAAATCAAAACCAAAATCTACCACCAAACACAGAACAAGAAAATTCTACCAACACAAATCAGAATCAAAACATACTTCCAGATCCAAATTCTATTAATCCATCCCAGCCATATAGTCCATATTTTATTGGTAACAATGATAGTTCTGGAGCACTGCTGGTCACTCAAATGCTGGATTCCAGCAACTATCATTCTTGGGCAAGATCAATGAGGAGAGCTCTTCGAATAAAAAAACAAACTAGGTTTCATAGATGGGACTATTTCTGAACCTGCCGATGCAAACAGTCCATTGATGGACCACTGGTTGCGCTGCAATGACATTATCATTACATGGTTGCAGAACACCAAGTCAATAGATATCAAGTCAAGCACACTTTATGTTGAAACCGCTCACCAGTTGTGGCTGGAACTTGAGCAGCGATTGGCACAGCAAAATGCGCCCAAAATTTATGAGATAAAGCAAAGCATTGTGGATTTACAGCAGAACTGGGATTCTGTAAGTATGTATTTTTCAAAACTCAAGACTCTCCTTGATGAATTATTAAATTATGAATGCATCCCAAACTGTACTTGTGGGGGGGGCCTGAAGACTGTGGTGAACAATCAAGACAAGGATTGGGTGATGAAATTTCTCATGAGACTTAATGACTCATACAAGAGTCTTAAGGCCCAAGTCCTTCTGATGAAGCCCTTTCCCAGCCTCAATGAAGTATATTCAATTGTTCAACGAGAAGAAAAGAGAAGAGAAATCTCTGTGGATATTCCTGTCAATGATACTATGGCCCTCATGGCAAAGGCTACTACCAGAGATGCAGGAAAATAGAATTTGATGCATCGGAAAAAGTACGACTATTCTTTTTTGCAAAATGCTTGGGCATTCCCTTGAGAGATGTTTCAAAGCCAACTCAGACAAACCAACATGTAATTACTGTAATGTGCCTGGTCACACAACTGATAAATGTTACAAGTTACATGGCTATCCACCGGGGCACATGTTATATGGAAAAACTAAAGTAATTTCATCCTCTGCCAATCAAGCAGTCACTCTTAGGCAACCCAGCCAAGAGCAGCTCATTAGCAACACCCAAATGTCTTTAACTCAAGAGCAATATGCTCAGCTAATGACTTTGCTCAAACCACAGAACAACCAGCTTTTCACATCCTCAGCCAACCAAGTGAAAACTTGCATACCTTCCTCTACAAATGATGTTGACATTCTAAAGATCTCTGGTATTTCTCTTTGTTTTTCTGTGTGCAACACAAGACCAAGAAATGTTTCTGACACTGCTTGGATTGTGGACACTGGGACAACTAATCATATGATCTATTCCCCAACCTTCTTCACCACTATCTAGGCAAAAATCGATCACTCAGTTGCTCTCCCAAATGGGGACTTTGTTAGAGTCACTCATATTGGAATAGTTAAATTAAGTGAAAGGCTAATCTCATATGATGTTCTATGTGTACCTTCCTTCTATTTCAATCTGATATCTACTAGAAAATTGTCACAAACCTCACATTGTTGTCTCATTTTTCTTCCTGAAACTTGTTTTGTGCAGGACCTTTCCACTTGGAAGACGACTGGAATGGGTGAAGTGAGAAATGGCCTATACCCCCTAATGCGGAATAAAGTCTCCTCTATAGCCTTGGATGATTTCTACCTTTTCTAGCCAAGAAATCCACCAAATCAGCTTCTGTCATCTGCAGCCAGGAAGTCACCAATATGTGGCACTACAGATTAGGACACCCTTCAGATTCCAGATTAGATCTTTTAAATTTTAATCATCTACCTAAGGAAGCTAATACCAAAACACCTTGTCCTATCTGCCCTCTAGCAAAGATGCATAGGTTGCCCTTCTCCATTAGTAAGCATAGGTCTCAGAAATGTTTTGAGTTAGTCCATTGCGATTTATGGGGACCTTGTAATGAAACGGCTTATGATGGGTCGAGATATGTCCTTAGCATTGTAGATTATTTTAGTAGATGTACTTGGTTAATGTTGCTGAAGTTTAAATCAGATGCTACTAGTGTTTTACAGAAATTTTATGCAATGATTGAAAATCAGTTCGATTCCAAAATTAAAATAATTAGGACTGACAACGGAAGTGAATTCAAAATGAAACATTTCTACTCTGAAAAGGGTATCATCCACCAAAAATATTATGTAGAAACCCCTCAACAAAATGCTATAGTCGAGAGAAAACATCAACATATCCTAAACGTTGCAAGGGCTTTAATGTTCCAGAGTGGAATTCCAATGAAGTACTGGTCTGATTGTGTTCTTACTGCAGTCTACCTCATAAATAGAACTCCTTCTCCACTCCTCAAAAACAAAACACCTTTTGAACTCCTTTTCAAAGCTAAACCTACATACTCTCACCTTAAATTCTTTGGATGTTTAGCCTATGCCTCTACACTCACACACAATCAACATAAATTTGATACTAGAGGAAGGAGATGTGTGTTTTTAGGTTATCCTTTTGGGATTAAGGGCTGCAAATTGCTAGATTTGGATTCAAACAAAGTTTTTATCTCACGAAATTTTGTTTTCCATGAAAACGTCTTTCCTTGCAAAACCTTAGATACTGCCACTCAACCATCTTCACCAATCTTGAGTGAAAAAATTTTTGATCAACCATTAACCACTAATATAGATTGTCCTATTGAGCAAACTTCTTCTATCCATGATCAACCTTCAGAGGTCTTAGACCAACCACCTGCTTTACTAAATTCATCTGATCAACCTGAGAATTCTATAGAATTACCTCAGAGTAATCCCACAAGTCCTCACTTGCCTCGAAGGTCCAATAGAGATAGAAGGGTCACCTTCATATCTACAGAATTTTGTATGCCAACAAGTCTCCTCACTTCCCAATTCACAAAAGTCCAACAAGGAGAAAGGTCATGCCAGATCAAGTAGTCCTTTCTCTTTATGTGCTACTTTATCATATCAAAGATTGTCCAATCCACATAAAGCTTTTGTAACTTCTATATCAACACACACAGAACCCAAAACATATCAAGAAGCTGTAAATTTTTGGAATGGCGTGATGCCATGAAAGCTGAAATTATTGCACTCGAGATGAATGACACTAGGGTTGTGACTTATTTACCTCTTGGAAAGGTTACCACAGGCTGCAAGTGGGTCTGTAAAATTAAATTCAATGCAAATGGGAGTGTGGAACAATACAAGGCTAGGCTTGTGGCAAAAGGGTACACACAACAAGAAGGGTTAGACTATCATGAAACGTTCTCACCCGTAGCAAAACTATAACTATGAGGACTTTGTTGGCTGTTGCTGCAATCAAGGGTTGGTTTCTGCACTAATTAGACATAAACAATGCATTACTACACGGAGACTTAGATGAGGATGTGTATATGCAACTACCTCTTGGATATTCCAAAGATCGTGAGTCAAAGGTTTGTAAACGCAAGAGTCTATATGGACTCAAGCGCCCCTCTAGACAATGGCATTCTAAGTTGTCTTCATTTATTATTCAGCAAGGTTTTCAGCAATCCAAATCTGATTATAGTTTATTTACAAGGTGTACCAAGGACTCTTTCACAGCCATATTGGTCTATGTTGACGACATCATAATAGCAGGCAATAGTATGCAGGTTAATGAAACTTTAAAATCATCTCTTGATGCCATGTTCAAGATTAAAGATCTGGGGGTACTGAAGTATTTTCTTGGAATAGAAGTCACACGGTCAGGAAAAGGGATTTATATTTGCCAAAGGAAATATCTCTAGATATTCTTGCGGACTCTGGAACCATTGGAGTAATACCAACCAACATACCATTGGATCAACACTTCAAACTCTCCAAAGACCAGGGTGAATTACTCCCTGATCCTTCCATTTATAGGAGACTTATTGGTAGGCTCCTTTATTTAACAATGACCGGACCTGATCTTGCATACTCAGTACAAGAAGCCAGTATATGCAAGCCCCCAGAATCCCACATCTGAATGCAGCTCATAAAGTATTGAAGTATATTAAACAAGCACCTGGACAGGGTTTGTTTTACTCCTCTACATCTAATATGCAACTCAGATCCTATTGTGACTCGGATTGGGTGGCATGTCCAGATACCAGGAGATCCATCACAGGCTATTGTGTTTTCCTTGGGTCATCTCTAATTTCATGGAAATCCAAGAAACAAAGTACCATTTCTAGATCTTCTGCAGAAGCTAAATACAGGGCTATGGTTAGTGTTTGTTGTGAGTTAAGTTGGCTTAGGTATTTGCTCCATGACTTACAAATTGATCATCCTCAAGCGGCATCATTAGCTTGTGAAATCAAGCTACTCTACACATTGCTGCTAATCCAGTCTTTCATGAAAGGACCAAACACATTGAGCTTGATTGTCATTTGATTCATGACAAAATCGAAGAGGGAAGTATTGTTACTGAACATGTGAGTAGTGATACTCAGATTGCAGACATTTTGACTAACCATTAGCGTCGGCATACTTTTATTCTCATTTATCCAAGATGGGAGTAGAAGACATCTACTCTCCATCTTGTGGGGGGCTGTTAAAAGATGACAAGAAGAAAGCAGGAAGAAAGCTCGTTGCCAGCAGAGATTCCAGCAAAGTCAAAGAACTGCCAGCTACGCATTGAATTCTAGAAGAATCAACTAAAGGAATTTGTGTGTGTTTGTGTATATATTAGGCTCCAAATCAGTTATGAGTGGAAGAATAAATTTTGGTTGGAATCGTTTTGTACAACTAGTGTAGAGGTTGTTAGGAACATTCATTTTCTTCAATTATATAAGGGCACTACCAGTTTGTATTTTGATATGAAAAAGAATACACAGTAAAACATTCTCCCTCTTGTGTAATTCGTTCCCTTTTGTTGGCTTTTCTTTTATTAACTGCTCAATATTCGAAGCCACAAAAGTGACAATGTCTAAGTGAATTGCTATATAGAGAATTTAAGCTTATTGAATAAGGAAAAGTTTATTCTCTCAAAAGCCAACAAAAACTTCTTAATAGTCGAAGCCACTAAAATGGCTCAGTATTTTCTTCTGGATATTAACAAAGCCCTTCAAGTTCAGCTATGCGATATAAAATCGAGGTCCCTGTTCAAAACATAACAGTGTCGATTTGACGGAGGTGGTTTCAAAGATGGTTATTTTCAATATTTTCAGTATAAACATCGCTTATAACAGCCTCAAACACTACACATTACAACGAATATGGAAAATCCCTTTCCTTGTCATCTCATCGATAGCTTCCAACTCCATTGCTAAATGAAGATGGGTTTGAGCAGGTGGTTGAAGAAATCGGAATAGTCGATGGAATAGCAGGAGATAGTTGGAGATGGAAAAAGGAGATGCGCCGTCGGTGGATTTAGTTTCAGTAGCGCCGTGGAAGAAGCGGGAAATGATTCTAGCATTTTCTATCCCTGATTTGACGGGAGGAAATATTTTGGCGCTATTCTCCAAATTGTGGGTTTTTTTCTTCTTTTTTATTGCCATGTCAGCCTATTTCAAAATCCTATGCATTCCCTGTGAAATGGATTCTGTACGTGTAGACTAATTCGAATGGGTTAACTACAAATATCATCATTGCTCTATTAATGGCCTGGATTGGCATCTCAGGCCAATAGATCTTTACGTTGATGCCAGTGGTATAACAAAATAACATTAAGTAAAGATAATACTAAAAAAAATTAGGGTCAACTTCACTTTTATCATCAGCATCAAGTGAATATATAACTATAATATCACAAAGTTGACCAGTATCAATTCTTAGCATTTTTAAACAATATTTGAACGCGTTTAGAGGCAAACCTTAGTCCCCTGTTAGCTACATTC